TACCCTAGCGAGAAGGACAATTCTTATTAAATCAGTGCTAAATTCAATTCTCATATATGCAATACAAATAAATTTATTACCACCCAAACTAATTCACAAACTAGATCGTCTACAACAAAACTTCTTATGGGGATCAACTGACCAAAAATGTAAAATACACTTAATAAATTGGGACAAAATCACCTCTCCAAAATCAGAGGGGGGCTTGGGGATACAAAAATTAATCCCAAAAAATAAAGCTATGCTAACAAGCTTTCTTTGGTGATACACTCATTCTAACAACTCTCTTTGGACAAAAATACTAGCAGCAAAATATGACCACCCACAAAATCATGCCTATAATTATTTATACTGCCAAAAAACTCATCCTAATGACTCCTACATTTGGAAAAGCATGATTAAAAATATTACATATTTCCGCTCAGGAACCAGTTGGAATATAACTAATGGTAAATGCATAAATGTTTGGTTTGACCACTGGATCGCAAAGAATTTATCACTTCGACACCTTATCCAAGGACCTATACCTAAACTTGAATTAAATAAACCTGTGGCGTCCCTCATTTCACACTCATCCTAGGATATCTCCAATCTCTCCTTTACCTTACACCCACAAATCATATCCCTCATAAAGAACATACCCATCTTTTCAACTCATCAAGGTGATTATACTCCCTACTGGCGCCACACAAATGATGGTTCATTCTTGATTTCTTCCGCCTACCTACACATATTATACCAAGATCAACACAGGATAACAAAATCGCCTAATAATTGGATTTGAAAACTAACTACACTGCCAAAAATAAAATATTTCTATGGCTACTAACACATGAGAAACTCCCTACTAAGACTCTACTATTCCATAGGAAAATCACTAACAACCCCTATTGTTCAAATTGTAATAATATTCGGGAAGATATACCACACTTTTTTCTACATTGCAAACCAGCTTACACATTATGGCACCACCTACGAATAAAAACACCCACAACCAATCTTAGAAACTGATTACACAGATTATGCACCTCCCACACTCAAATTCGAATAAATCCCAAGACTTCTATACCATCCTTTATCCTAACGCCAATCCTCCTTTGACAAATCTGGCTAAATCGTAACAACAACCATTTCAACAGAAATAATCACTTAATAGACCTCGCCACCATTATCACACTTGCAACCCAAATTAATTACTTAATAAATATCCCTAGCATCAAGTCTAATTCTGTGAGAGAAACTACCTCATGGCACAAACCACAACCACCACAATATAAACTCAACATAGATGGGGCCTACGACCCAACAAACCACCATGGAGAAGCAGGGGGAGTTTTCGTGACTCCACATGACAATAGATTTACGATTTTGCAATGCATATATCAATTACAAATGCTCTACAAGCCGAACTACTGGCGCTTTACCACGGGCTAACCATTGCTATTAATCGAAGCTTTCGCCCTCTAGTTGTTGAAACAGACTCACACGTATTACTCCAAATACTTCAAGCTGGTAGTCCAAAATACTTATAACTTATAACATCTTGCAGGTCAATGATCCAGGAACTCAACATCCAAACTTAGCTATACACTTAGAGAAGACAATAGAGTGGCGGATGCACTAGCAAAATTTGGGAAAACAAATATAAGATCACCTCCACAGTCAATCATGTATTTTGAAGACCCCCCTACTTTCATGCAACTAGATTTTGAAGTAATTGGTACTAGCAGCTTACATTTCAATCATCCCTTGTAATTTCGTACTTAAATTTATCAATGCAATCCTTCGTTTGAGCCCAAAAAAAAAGTTTTGCCATTTGGGTACATTCCCAGAAAAATATTATACGGACCGTTGTCTACTACGTTAAACCTTTTCTTTTACACTACGAATACGATGAAGTCCTGCGTCGAAGTGATTACTATGATCCAAAGTGTTAACTAGTTGGTTCGCTAACTACAATATATAAACTGGGAATTTTTACCTCCTATAGCAAAGGTTAAGACCTTATTTATTTTAAATAAGTACCATTTTAAAAAATTATATTCTATAGATAACTTTTAATGTTTATAGTAAAATATCTAATTTTTGTTACCTCTTACCCCTAAGCCACTAAATACGCTATTCAATTACACTATTTTCTTTCTCTCTCTACTTTGATACATGTCATTCTCTTCCCCCATTCCCTGAAAATACGATGTTCAATCTCAAAATTCCTCTCACCCACATCACCTACCATTAGTCAAAAACCTCACGCTCCCTCATCTCTCATCTCTCTCTAGGGAAACATGGTGTAGTATAGGCTTCCATGGATGTGCAACCCTATCCATCAAGTTAACATCAGAAGGGTTAAGGTTGAATCTCAAGAGCCTTTGTTTGGATCTCGTTTCCGAATCTTCCCGAATCTTCCGTCTATGTTGTTCACGAAGAAATCACTGTTGTCTATTGCCTCAACAGCAGGTAAGCTCATTGCTATTGATAAGGCCACCAAGAAAGGTCTAGATCTAGCACAGTTAGGGTTAAGGTTGAACTTGATCTTCAAGGAAAACTGTCGCAATATATGAGGATTCAATTTGTTGATGATAAAACTGGGAAGGTTATTGAGCATGTCCAGAAATTCAATTTGGGGCTGAGCAACTTGATTTTCTGTTAATATATTTCAATGTATCACGCTGTATTTTCATGTATTTCATTGTATTCATTGTCTTTTTTTATAGTAATTCAATGTATCTCGATGTATTCCATGTATTTCATTGTATTCACTGTCTTTTTTTCATTGTATTTCAATGTATCCCGATGTAATCTATGTATTTCACTGTATTCTCTATCTCGCTATATGCCATGAATGTATTCATATATTTTTTTTAATTAATATAATTTATGTATTCAAATGTATTATATAATTTCTCTAAAGATTGCAATGATTTTGGAGTATTTTTCAGTTGAGAATCTTTTTTATAACTGGAAATACAAAATTTGTGTGTTATAATTGAGTTTGTTGAGTTATATTAGGAGTCGATTATGTTAATTAATTCACTTTCCGTTTAAAAACAGTGTAATCTCCTGTTTCACGCCGTGAATACAGTCGAATACAGTCGAATGCAATAATCTATCCAGCTGCATCCCATGTTTCACGCCATGAATACAGTCGAATACACTCGAATACAAAAATCCATCTAGCTGTAATCCCCTATTTCACGCCTAGAAATGTTACTGTATTCATGAATACAGTAGCTTAAATACACCGAATACACTCTAAAAAACCTGAAAACATAGTTATAGGAAATAATATAGTAAATGATAGATACAACTAGTTAATAACCACTAAAACAGAGTACTTTCTGAAAGTTTTTCCATAAACTGAACACTCCAATGGGTCGTGGAAACTGTTGGCTTTTGCTTCTAAATTGTCATATCACAAATTCACAAGAAAAAGAATTATTTTTAATACCAAAACACCACTTTTCATATGCAAATAAAGAGCTTAATATGATTTGTATACTATATTAATGATAGTGGGAAAGTAATGGTTAAAATGTCACAAGAATAGTTTTGAATACCTAAACAAATTTCAAGTCTTCAAATTTGTAAATATAATATAAAATTTGTTACAAAATAGTGTCAAATATTTTTGAATATCCCAAATGAAATGACTCACAAAACACTTCCATCGTGGAATCTCTGAGTTTTAAGCCAAAATTATCCAATGTTGGTAGGTAGACCTAATATTATCCTTCAAATATAATCCCAAGCACTTTTTGTCCTCTAAATTGCCAAAGTTAAACGGATGTTTGGCTTAGACTTTTAAAAAGTAGTTTTTAAGCTAAAATTCAAAAGCCATAAGTTGAAAATACCCAACTTTTGACTTATTTTTGTACTTTTCATGCCTAAAAATAAATGCTTTTAAGCACTTTTTATCATTGTCAAACACCACATAAACTAGAAAAGTACTTAAAAGTCAATAAGCACTTAAAATAAGTCAATCCAAACACCCTCATATTACAACTAACAGAACACAACTAATGAGAACTAACAGAAGAATATATTGATCTAGCCTCAATTATTCAATATGACCTCTCTTTTTTCCCTTCAGTATCTTACTTTTTGTTCACATTTGTGCTCCAGGACAGAGAATTTTCTTATCATTTGACACGTCGCTAACTTTAAAAATATTCCAGGTCCATGGTACAATAATAAGAGACACGTGGGGATGTCCGTAGTGATAAAGGTCTTTAAACCTGGGACAGAAGATATTTTAGTACCAGATTTAAGCTGGTATATTGTGCACGTATTTTGGAGTTCTTAAGTCCTGACCTAAACTGTGCATCTCTGATATATATATAATATAATGCATCATATACTCTTTGTTTTAACGAAGTACTATGTCTATTGCTATGACTAGGATTTTGCTCTTGGTTTCCAAACTCTGGTTATCTCTTCATTACATAGGACTAGCTCTTAACTTCTTAAAGAAAAAACCAGTCCTCTTCCTCCACCGATCATTAAAAAGAGGAAAAATACGCAGAGAGAAACATAAATGCAACCATCTATGTAACACTGGAGCATTCATTCTTGAAACATATATGGAGTACTACTTATCTTGCAGAGAGAAATTCAATGGTGGAAATAGTGAAAAGGGAAACATGAGTTGGGAGGAGAAACCAAGCTGGGGGCTCTTTTACCTCTCACGTGAAAGTCACTAAAAGATTTCTTCCTTTAGTTTACCTGGTTAGCTAGTTGTGTTATGTTACTTGGACTATATCTGCTCACGTCTAGCAAACTTAGAGGACAGAATGTGCTCATTTCGAGGACGATATTAGGTCCACTACAAAACATAAGGGATAAATTTGGCCAAAAACTCAAGGACCCTCACCATGCTATAGATGTTATGCGCAAGATGAATCAAAAGCATAAAGAGAATAAAGAAGAAAGTAAAAGAGAGAAACTAAGCAGGCAGATTGGTGACAATAATAACTTTTATCTAGATCAAGTACCAAAAACACTAGGTTTCAATACTAACTTCTCATTAGATTTAAGAAAGTTAATTACATACATGAATCCATTCTAAAGTAGGGTTCCAGAAGTTGTAAAAGAGAACCTCTCAGGAACTATTCCAAAGCCTACTCGCGATTAGTATCTAAAACTGTTGTATCCTCCTATACTAGAAGATCCATATCCCCCTAAGCGCTGAGATTGAAACGAAGATGATGAATAGGAGTCACTGAAACGAGAAAAAGAACCAAATCCACTCTCACCCGTCCCATATAAGCTCGGGGCTGGCTCTTTGTGGTTGCTAATGAATTCCTGCACAAAAGCAAGTGATAAATTAAGTATTTGCTAGTTAAATAAAATGATCGTGCTTTATCATCAGTTTTTCTAGTCTTTTTATCTTATGTATCATATTTGTCCTTCAACATTTTGTTTCCCCAATGTCTCGACGAAACATGTAGAGCCGACCATACCCTTTGATAAGGAAACCTCAAAGTAGTGGTACATCAGAAAACGGGAAAGATACGGCTGGATTATTAGTATTTTCCTTAAAAATACCTTGCTCAAGGTCTGATTTTGATTCTACGTCTATTTCTGATTTATTTAGATAAAGGTGATTACAGATTAATCAATTTAAACAAAACAATAAACAATTAATGATATCATAAAATACCTTTAATTTTGTTTTTGTTGTTATTACTTTTTATTTTGGATAATATTAGCTTGAGATGAATTTATATTGAGTAACATGATTAGTGAGGATACATATAACCGACCGCAACTTGTTTGGGTACAGACAGATCTAAAATTTTGAGTTTAAGAATTTTGGAACAACAACCTTTTTTGCTTATTGGATTCTGGATAGATTATTTATACACATTAAGTAGATTTATTAACACAATTACAAGATCTAGTCAAGCTAATGGGTTCTGTCGAGCTCTTAACTTCAACGGTGGATCTGTCAGTGTGTGGGACTTAGGTGTAGTTGTTGTAATTATTTCATACATAGAGATTTTTAAGCAGCAACAACGTATTAGTCCCAAACAAGTTGGGGAAAAATGGAAGGAAGATCTTAAAGTCCATAATATACTCGAATTGATGTTAAAAGAAAGAGCAGAAGCCCTAAAAGAAGTTCACCCAACTAGTTATTAATTCCAAATCTTAGCCTAGAAGGGTATTCTGCGTATTTATCTAAGCCCATTGTAATAGCTAATATAAAGAGACTCCTTAGAGTTTAGTTTAGTTTTGTTGATTGGACTATTGAGGCTCTTGTGAGAGCTTGGGGAAGAAACCCCTATATCTCTTCAATTGAACCTCTCTTGGATTCTCCTAGGTAAGTATTTTCATGTACGAGTTCAATTTCTCTTCTCCCTTGGATTGAATCTAGTAACGGCATGCTAATTTGATTATTAGATTGTCCTTTCTTTCTTCTAAATCTCCTCCCTTCTTCTAATTCTATCTCAATCTTCTGGTTTCAAACTAGTTCTTGAATGCTTTATTGAATTTCTTGTTTCTTTGAGTTTTATTGTTATCAGTTCTCATCATCCAAACTAGAGATTTCTCTACCGAGCCCACCTAGAGTTTCTCTCCCCAAACAAGGATATCATCCATGTGTATAGATTGCAACAACCGAAATTGCAGAGAGCTTACGACCACAAAGTTTTGTTCTCAACAACCTAAAAGGCTAAACTACATAAAAGTTTTAACATATTTGAACTTTTGTAACGGGTCCTAGAAAAAAAGTTCCAGAAGAAATATAATCTGGTAGAGTAGACACATGAACAAAATAACAACCAGCTGAAGGACCATGATCGCCTGCTATGGACTTGTATGAAACTACAAATTACTTGTGTCTATATAAAAGGGAAGGTGAGGTGCAGTGGAGATGGTCTGACCATTAAAGATGAGCTTCATACCTGAATAAGCTGTTCGGCCGTTTGAACCTCAGACGAGGTACCCTTAATCTCTATAGTTATCTCTTCAGGTAAGCCTCTGCTCTCTTGCACAGTAAGAATTGCCCCACTCGTGCGGCGAATATATGCTATGTTGGCTCCACCAATACCAATGATATCCTCAGCATACGACAGGGGTACTTGCATTACCTTTGTCATCTGAGAGGGAAAAAGAAGAGAGAGAAAGAAGTGACCCATATATCAGAGCTGATACACTGCATTAAATAGATTTAGCTAATGGCCAAATCCTTAGGCTAATGGCTAAGCAGAAAGACGGAATAGAACTGCTAGACATTCAAGTTTAAGAGCAGGATACTAAAACAGAGTGGAATCGAGTAACACTTCACCAAAATTGAACAAAACATAAGTTAATTTGTATGAATCAATAAAATGCAGAAGCGAGCACGATGTTCATGCAAAAACTGGAAACAACCCCACCCCACCACACCCGCTCAAAGAAAATAAGAATATCTGGTGCAAGAAAGAAAGGAGAACACAACTAGGAGAAATTTCAACCAAAATCCGCACTCTCACAAAGTATATTTGTTTCCGTTATGGTGGCATTCAAGCCAACTCGCGCGCACTTCAATGTATCCACCAGGTACCTTCTAACTCTCACCAGGATAGGCATAAAGTATTCTTCCACCAAAGCTTAGCCAGATGGAAAAATTGCATCCGTTGTGATCCAAACCTTGAATCGCAAAGTTGTTACTCCAACTCTTCGACAGTTACGGGGCCCATCAAGGGCTCTCCCATAAACAGCTATTAAAGGTAACAAAGCAAGTGGTCCAGATCAAGGTACAGTTGAAGTGTAAATATTCTCACTTTAGCCACCAAGATCCTCCACCAATACAAAACCAGCAAGAGTAATATAAGTACAACCCTCAAACTCATGATTCGTTTTTAGTTAACCGGTTTAATATCTACATTATAATGTAAAAATACAGACTAGGACTCTAAATAAAGGATAACGATTAAACGGAGTCTTCTTTTGCTCGTACCGTCTCGTAAACTTCAACCAATTATGTGCTTCAATATAATTACTGGGACTATAACCTGTTTCCAATACTCAGCAGCTTGATCGAATCATTCTTTCAAGTCTTAAATTTCAAGCCTCACACTCCCTTATCATTTTATCCCAAAATAGTCACTCCATGCAACGAATTTACAGTTTGAGAAAATGTCAACTTGTCTAAGGCAAAAAGTGTAGAAAAGTGCAAAAGTCAGTTGAGGCTTTAAGCGTAAAGCGCTACTACAATGCACAAAGCTTAGTAAGACAAACTTCAGGTCATATCAAGCACTCTTGTTGAAAATTCATTTTACGCTATTTAATAGGTATACAACTTGCTTACTTATGCATTGTATAAACACCGATTCTACACAACGTAATAGTACCAACTTGAACCACACTGAAGCTCAATTTCCATGAAACTAGCAGCAAATGGAGACACAGAATATCCATGAAACTGACCTGCGTTACTATGGGACCAGTTCGACCAGCTACAGAAGTACGCAAGCCACCAAGTCCAGGATCCTGTCCATACAGAGATAGCGTAGAGGGCCGGAGCTTAAAGTCCGGAGTGGCTTCGCGATCAAGTAAGTAAGTGTCTCGGTTCATGGAAAGAGAATAATCAGAAACTGTCAGAGCTTGGGATGTAGGTGCAGGAACAGAAGGTGGAAGATTTGAGGACTGTGATTTATCAGCCCAGGATTCCGCCGGCCGATCTTGAGAGATATTTGCATTGCACTGGCAGTAGAACATGTATTAGCAAAAACACATTTGGACAATTACGCTTCAGCCAACAGCCAATAGTATCAAACTTACCGTCTTTTCAAATACAGGTATCACACTATGATCAACCAAAAACTTTCTCAGCTGTCCCAATACCGCCTCCAGAGCATCAAGCACCTTCAAGCCCTCTCCATGAATTTCAACAATTCTCTCATCTGAAGTGGCATAAGGAGGCACATCATCTGTGAAATTCAGAAATTGTTAGATGTTACTACCACATGACTGAAGGTTTCATGTCACGCAATAATAGCAAAACACACCAATGCCACCATCAAGAATCACAATGAAATACACTCCAAGATCAAATCCTGAATGCAATTTCATAACCATACTGAAATTGAGTTAATTTGCTATAATCCAGGAAAGAGAAACTCATTTCATACTTTGACATCATTGAGTTAGAAATTACTACAATTTTATAATCATAGTGCATGGTCATCTATTATAATTCAGAAAAAAGAAGCTAATCTCTACATAGAAATCATTGTTAAGTTAACAACTAAGAATGAAATGAGCTGCCTGGGAACTCCACATTTCAATGGAGCATATGTAGTAGAAATGACAACTGAAGGTATCTTACATTGAGAGACAACTGTTTCTATCAATAGCCCAATAAACATTTTTCTGCAGAATTTGAGCACCACGTCCAAGTGAAGACAATTTTAGGATGACTCTGATTTTGCCTAAGTCACACTCTAGTGCCCGCTATTAAGTCTTCCATACAGACTTTGTGAACAATAAAATTTGCTCATTTACTACTTTACAAAAAAAATAGAACCATCCCTGGAGTACTTTGTGGCTCCTGCTTCCCCCACCCCTGCCAACATTGCAGCCCTTCCTCAAAGTGATCCTCCCCAACGTCCAGTTTCAACCACCCCTTACTCTCCTCCTGTAAGTCTGTCCCTTCTAAGCCCTCCCCGACCACCGTGTCACAGTTGAAAAGAAAGTTATCTAATCCAATTCACTCTCTCCTTTTTGCATATGGAATTTCTTCATTGTTATCTGGTATAACCATTAGCCTATTTCTCAGAGGGCTTCTAAAATGTACAGAAGAGAATTAGTCCACCATAATATACGTCCCTTCATTGCTTTTCTACTTGACCACCATCAGGCAAAATGTTCAAATCAATTATCTTGCACTTCATAGGTTCAAATCTGGAAATATCATATGCATTAGTTCTTTTCTTCGCTCTTTAACCTTTATAGGTCATTTGAGATCTAGGATTAGCTCTGTTTCATCTTGAAGGAGGAGATGAAGTTCGACACTGGCGCAGCCAGGAATTTCACTAAGGGGATTCAAAATATAGAAAAAGTAAACACACGAAGAAGAGCAAGGAGGATTCAACATCTACTATATACATAAAAATAATTTTGACCTTGCATATTCGGTGTAATTTTCCAAGAAAAGGGGTTCGGATGAATCCCTTTTGCACCTCTGGCTCCAACCATGATGGTCTATCCTGTTGGAACTTTGGGAAGCACGCACTCTCAATCAATCAAGTTATACAAGTGCAAAAACGTATTCTATTGCTTCACTCGACATAAGCTAAATAAAATGACAATAATATATAGGTATTTATAGGCGTTATTCAACGCGTACCTCATCTAAAACATGTATCACAATTCATTCTATACTCCCATTTTCACAAATATAGGCATTACTAATTCATGTAATACACAATTCTAAGTATTTAATTTAAACACTCAAAGCCAATAGGTCTTCTCATCTTTCAACGCAACATTTAATTTTCAATACTCCTCCTTGAACCTTGTAGCTAACATGCTTCAATGTCCCAAAGTTTCTCTTCTGCAACTCTTCTTTTTGGCAGTTCTCGTCTTCTTCTTTAGAGGACTCCTCCTCTTCCTCAGCACATGTTTCCTTAGAACTACCCTAATTTGGACCGAGTTTCTCTTTCTTTAATACTTGTTGTCGCTAGAACTTTCCTCTTCACTAATACTCTCCTTTTTTCGAGCTTTTGCGACAACTGGACCGAATTATCATCTTGATACACATGCAAAATTTTGGTGAGCAGCAGGAGATGGTCTTTTAGAATGGTCCACTTTATTGGGAGCCTCATCATATTCTTCGTCAAGGATTTTATTTTTTGATGAAATAAATTGTTGTGTTAAAAGGCATCAAGAAGATGCAAGAGTACAAGAAGTAGATATACAAAAAATAAAAGTGAGTTGCTAGCCCCTATACAATGTCTCAATCTAGGACAAGAGAGCTAATAAACTCCAAAAAGTGTTCAGTAGTAACTATTGAGGACAGCTTTGTCCAGCAAAAAAGATTGGCTAAACATTTGGCTTTAATAGAGTGGTTTGGAGTTGAGATGCCATCAAAACATCTTTTGTTTCTTTCATTCCATAGACACCAAAAAATAATTACAGGTATCATAATCCAGATCTTTTTGATGGACTTATCAACTGGCCAAAGACTCCAACTCAAGTACACGTCTCTCAGATTTTGTGGCATGACCCAACTTATCCCAAAAATACTATAGAACATGTTCCATATATCAATGGCTACTGGACAGTGCAGGAAGAGGTGACTGATAGATTCCTGGTTCCTCCTGCATAGATAACATCTATTAACCAGTTGAAACCCTCTTCTGTTGAGATTATCTTGAGTTAGGCAAGCTTCATGTAGGGCTGTCCAGTTGAAACCAATNCGAAGCATTCTCCATCAATATTGTAAGCCTCCACTTTGGCTATCATTTCCATCAAGCTTTCAATCTCCCAGTCTTGAGCTGCTCTTCTAAAGTGCACATCCCAAGTATTGGTAGTTCTGTTTTGAGCAATTGAGGAGTTCTTGTCCAGGGCATAGTTGAAAAGATTAGGATAGTCCTCCATAAGTGTAGAATTGTTGAGCCACTTATCTTTGTAGAATTTGATGTGTGCTCCATTGCCCGGCTTGAAATGGACATTCTGGAAAAATTCATTCCCTAACTTGCTAATATACTTCCAAGGTCCTACTCCGTAGGGGGCATTGACAATTTTCGTGCTCCAATTATCATTTTCCCCATGTTTAGCATTGATCACCTTCTTCCAAAGACTTGTATCATCTTACCATACCTCCATAACCACTTCATTAGCAGACACTTATTTTGCATGGCAAGATCTCTGACCCCCAACCCACCATTGCACTTGGGCTGCACGACTTTGTCCCACTTTACCAGATGAAATTTGTGAGAACTGTTATTCCTCTCCCATAAAAAGTCTCTCCTTAATTTGTCCAGCTTTTTTAGCACCTTTATAGGAATGGGAAACAAGGACACGAAGTAAGTAGGAATATTGTCAAGTACACTGCTAATAAGAGTTATTCTTCCCCCCATAGATAGGTATTGCAACTTCCAAGAAGCCAACCTCTTCTCAAAATTTTCCACAACTCCATTCCAAATCTCACAGCTTTTGAATTTAGCTCCCAGTGGTAGGCCCAAGAAGGTACTAGGTAAGATTCAAGTACATGATTTGAGTTCTATTTGCCTCACATAAGATCAGAGTATCATCTGCATACAATAAGTGTGATATAGTAATAGTGTTCCCAATGTTTGTACCTACATTGAATCCCTGAATCCACTGCATTTGCCTGGCCTTTTCAATCATTTTACTTAAACCCTCCATGGCTAGTATAGTATGACCAGGAAAGGAGAGAGTGGATCCCCTTGCCTTATTCCTTTTTTAGGAGAGAAGAAGCCCACAGGACCTGTGTTCACTAAGACTAAGTACTTGATGGTAGAGATGCAATACTTGATCCACTTCAACCATTTGTCCCCAAACCCCATTTTCCTCAAAATAGAAAGCAAGTAGGACCAATTAAGTTGATCAAATGTCTTCTCTATGTCCAATTTACACATCACACCAGGTTCCCCATTTTTAATCATCCAATCCAAGACCTCGTTAGCCAATTGTTTGACAGCATTGAACAGAGGTCCATTGTTTGTGGTCTGAAATAACTCTTGGAAGAGCCAATTGTTTGACAGCATTGAAGCTTTCATTCCATTCTAGAGAGACTAGGAATCTGTCGATCCGTGAGGCTTGGAAAATGTCCTCCCCTCTTGATCGGGTATATTGAGCCCCTTGTAGAGGCAAATCCATTAGCTGCAAGTCCACAATTGTTTCTGAGAAGCTCTTCATAGCTTTGGTCCTTCTAGTACAATTCAACCTCTCAGATTCGAACCTACAAACGTTGAAATCCCCTCCACGACCCACTGATCACCCCAAATCCCTCTTATTGCACCTAGTTCCTGCCAAAAGACCTCCCTCTCCGTATTGTTGTGAGGTCCATATACACCTGTAAAACCCCATCTAAAATCTTCATGTATGCTCTCAAGGAAGCAAGTCATTGTGAAGCAACCTTGAAGAGAATCAATACACCTCCACATTCTCTTATCCCACAAGATAAGAATACCACCCCTAGTGCCACTAGCCTTCAATTCTGCCCCAATCTACCCACCTATTCCCCCAAATTTGGTAAATCATAGAAGTTGGAATGCTCTCCATTTTAGTTTCTTGGAGACACAAGATGTCAGCTTTCCATTTTCTAACTAGAGATACAAGAGTACTCCTTTTATTTTCCTTGTTCAGACCGCAAATGTTCCAGCTAAGAATTTTTACTTTCATGTGGGACATATTCTTGCCATACCTGCCCCTATCCCTTTTGTTTCTTCCCTCATAGTTGATATTGCAAATTAAATTTTGAACCTCTGTACCACCTTTTTTCCTCCCTTTCCCCTTTCTACTAGCTGAAGATGGTGAACCACTGTTTTGCAACTGAACCTGTCTTTTTTGATCCATTCTCGTAATTAAATCGAAAATTTCATGCTCAAACCCCACTGTATTGACCCCAAATGCCTTGCAAACTTTTCCCATAACCAATTTGGTCCACTTGGAGGTTTCTATTGTTGTAGGTTGCTGAATACTCTGTTGGATTCCATGAACTTCCAATTACTCTCCTTCATGCCATGGTAAAGGAAGTGCCTCACCGTAGGAATCAGATTCTGAGCACATTAAGGCAGTAGAAGCAACTTCTGACCAACCCAGTTGTTGAGGAAGACCCCTGAGGTTGGCCAAAAGAGATTCTGCTTCATCATCAGCTGCTTCCAGATATGTTTCAACAGTTGCATGCGGCAGGGATTCATCAATTGACTTCGTGGCTTGAGACTGGTGAGAGAAAATAGAAGAAGAAGGTGCAGCAACGATGACTTTAGGACGAGGGTCCATCAATAAACCTTTAGTTCGCCACTCCTGAATAAAATTGGGTTTGATTGGCTTGGCCTTCTGATGGGCTTTCTTTTTTGGGCCTTTGTAGTAATTAAAATTTTGGCCCACCACAGGTTCTTTAATAACTCCTGAACTGCTAGCAATATTGGGCCTGATTTGGCTTGTGGCCCGTGAATTGAGAAGGCTGGGAAATGGGCCCAAGAGATTTGAATTAAAGTTGCCCTTGGACAGATGTCCCTCCACGTGCCCCGAATTCACGTAACCCTCATCAGCTTTCCCCAAACTCAACGCCGGTGATGACCCAATCCATGTTGCAGCTCCTGCTACTCTAACTGGCTTTGGTGGCACAGCAACGTCCTTCAAAATTGAGATTTCGTAACACCAGTTCTCAAGGTCAAGTGTTATCTTCTCTGGGCATTTTTTGCTGTTGTTGCTAACACAGATTCTTGCCCAAATAAAATGGTTCCGGTACTTCATATCCAAATCAATGCCAATGAAGCCGCCGCAAATGTCACCAATGGTTCTGAATGTCTCAAGTTTCCAAGCATTAATAGGGATACCAAAAGCCTTGATCCATTTCTGTTCAGATCTCTGGGAGGCAAAATCAATGCCGGTCACCGGAGACCACCACTTCAATGAAAGATGACGGCCACCGCTTCCTGCCTCGATGGGAATTCAAAAAGAAATTGGTTGTGGGACATAGGGGTGACTTTCAGTACATTTGGTCGTATTAACAACAACAACCCAGTATAATCCTACTAGTGGGGTCTGGGGAGGGTAGTGTATACACAAACCTTACCCCTACTTCGAAGGAGCAGAGAGGTTGTTTCCGAAAGACCCTCGGCTCAAGAAAACAAAAAGACAAAAGGAGACAATATTAGTATCACTATAGAAATCATAGGAAAAATAGGAACAACATGAAATCTAGAAGAAAGATGCAAAGCAAAAGCGATAACTAGTAAATAGGTCCTGCACTGAAAAGCGAAATAGTAAAATACAACATTGCCACTAGCTATCTTAAACAAAAACCCTACCAGACTAGTCTCACAATGGTACGAAGTAGGGCAAGACTCAACTACCTCCTAACCTACAACCCCACATTTGGCCGTATTGTTTTAGCTAAAGTCATACAGCCAAGTCACCAATCATTTGACTCAAAAAAGTTCCAGTACCATGATAATTATGTTGTGAAAGAGGCACTAAGATGAAAAAGCAACCAAATCAGTAAAGATAGAAAGCTCACCTTCAGATAACACTCGCAGGGAGGCACCAGATCTTTCCTGGATTGATTTGATTGTAGAACCTTGCTTCCCAATCAAGTGAATGGCTTGCGATGACGCCACCAGTAACCTTAAAGAACAAAATGCTGCACCAGCAGCTACTGCTCCTGGATCACCATCGCTTAGTCCAGCAACACGCTTGAATACTCTTAGAGCAGCATCCATTGCAGGTGATGCTTGCGCGTCTGGATCTTCTCTTCCAGATATTAGGACCTGAAAAGCATATGCAGGAAGTCAGCAAGGAGTGGTACAGCTTCTTTTAATATAAATACCTTGAATATATAAAGTCAAATCATGCTACAATAGATACTTTCTAGACATGACTTGTTTTTGTTAGTTAAACAATAAGCCATGTCATACCAAAATAGTATGATATAATACAGTGTTAATTGTTTCGACACATCTAGACATTATTCAGAAAAACAATCCGTCATCCCATTTTACATTGATCTCTTACTATTTTGAGACGTCAATGTTCTATATAACTCCACTAAAATATTATTTTATACAAATTTCACAACTTCCAAATTTCAAATTAAATGAGCTATACAGATGTTAGATTTTGATGTGACCTTTTATTTGTAATTTTAGTGACAATAATATAATACATAAGTCAAATTAACATATGGATTACACTCGCCAAGATGTTATTTAGCTGGAAACTCGGGAGAAAGAGACGAAGAAGTGAAGTTTCCGAAGTGTCTCCTTTGGCAATCAAGAGGACAATATGAGAAGATAAAAAAAGTAGAATGTTTGAGGGGGTAGAAAGTACCTTTCTAGAGAGTACTGAAATTTTATAAATCTTTGGAGCATATATACAGGCTGAATTAGTATATGTGATTGGTTACTCTTCACGAACCATGTTTGACTATATATACTTTTCATGCCACTTGTCAAAACAAAATGCGGGCTTTCGCCTTTACATCAATATAATTTCATTTTTTTATCAAAAATCCCAAATATTATTAATATGCAAAAAAGAACGTACAAAATTTTTCTACCAAGAAAATATGATACCTTCTATAACATCTCAAGTAGATTCATTATAAAACATGATTATACAAAACCTCAAGGAACAATTAGTAAAGAAGTCATGACTATCATGACTGCTTGAAACCATACTATTCATCTACAAATAACAACAATAGAAATGTACCATGGCACAGATTCTACCAAACAAACATAAGTTGGAGCCACAATGTCAAGCTCCATCGACAATAATATTTAGCTTTTTGCTTTCATGATCTTACCTCTTAGGAATTAACATCCAAACACTGTAGAAAACAGTACTAATACTTCAACAACAGTTATCCAAACACATCACACAGAAACACAAAATAGCACTCCCTCCGTTCCAATTTATATGAACATGTTTGACTGGGCACGGAGTTTAAGAAAAAATGAAGACATTTGGAATTTGTGGTCCTAAACAAGTTGAAAAGGGGCCCAGAGTATTTGTGTGATTATAAAAGCTTCTCGTTAAAGGTAGAATTGTAAGCTTAAGCTAAATTGTTTCCAATTTAGAAAGGGGTCATTCTTTTTGGAACGGACCAAAAAGGAAATAGGTTCACATAAACTAGAACAAAAGGAGTAGCAATTACACCTTAGATTAAAAAATCCAAACATAGTACTAATAGTTTTTCAAGTTAACAAGAAAATAACTACTCAATCCTTATAGGCTTCATCGAACTGCGCTCCAAACAACGCTCAACATGTTTCATTAAGCACTTAATGCCAGTACGTCGCACAACGTGAGCTCACAAAATTAAGAAACGAAAATAAAAATCATAAAATATGAGCACAAAATAAAGAATCTTCCAACAATAAAAAATCCCTAGATGAAGATGAATTTTGTTATAGAAACCTATTGTCTAAGACTTAGGCTAGGAGTAAGGTCTCTGAAGATGAAGACCTTAAGACAATAAACTGAAGAGTGCGGCTGAGAGGGAATATGAGAGAATGAAGCCCTAGATGTATGTATATACTTAAGTGTAAAGTCGTAATTTTATTAATTTTTATTGGGTTATCGGTTAACCCATTAACAAAATTGGCAAACCGAGGCCCGAACCGATAACCCAATAATAAAAAAATTCTAAACCGTTACCGAATCATTAACCCAATGACCCGATACCGACAATCCAATAAGCTTTTTTCGGTTCGGGCTATCAGTTTTACCCGATATATGCCCAGCCCTACTTGCAACAACTTGCAAGGCATAAAAAATTTAATATTTATATATTCAAGGGCAAACCTCCTTTGCTATACGTCACTATATATTCTTAGTCTAATTAGTAAAGAGAAACCTCATACATATCCTAAATAATAAATAAGAACAGAGAACACAAAGCTTCTAAGAAACTACCTAATGAAAGTTACTACTCCTTCCGTTCCAGTTTATGTGAACCTATTTCCATTTTGGTCCGTTCCAAAAAGAATGATCCCTTTCTAAATTTGGAAACAATTTAGCTTAAATTCTCAATTTTACCCTTAGTGAGAAGTATTTATAACCACACAAATACTGTGGATCCCTTTTTGATTTGTTTAGGACCACAAATTTCAAAAATCTTCATTTTTATCTTAAACTCTGTGCCCAGCCAAACAAGTTCACATAAATTGGAGCAGAGGGAGTATAACATTGGGTCCATTTTTTCTGTAGATAGATTAGGTAATCCGGTCGAAATAACTCATTTCAAGAAATGTATCCTTGATCTCCCAGTAATAGACATCTGCATAACCAAAAAAAACCCTAAAAAGGACTGCCATTATCACAATTGGGATTTGAACTTGTAATCTAAAGCGATATTTGAACCCTTTCCACTATGCTAGGATCTTCCATTATGCCAAGGCATTCAACAGTTCATATATAACCAAAAAAGAGCTGACTTTTTCCCTATTTCCGCAGAATAATTATTTGATGAAGAGGATTCAATTGAACCCCCTTGGCTTTACATAGCTCCGCCCCTAGCTATTGTACAGTTTAATCTGCATGTGTCCACCTCAAAAAGATTTCAGCTATATCATCATACTATAGTTTGGGGACAATTGTCCATAAACAGTCTACTTTTATGCACTTCTTAAATTGTCGTTTTCCCATAAACCATATCATTTTAACAACCACCTACCTTCAACACTTTCACTGGAAACTTTTAATATAAGCACTGAAAATTGTAAGTTTTAACCAATTAGAAACAGTTATTTCAAATAAAAATCGCAAAGTGTAACAAAAAACCCTAGAAGAAGCATAAATTAAACGAGGCATGTATGATAATGAATGATGTCACAACATACTATGTGATCGGCATGCCGAGAGGACCTTCTAGGACGCGAATACGAGCACGAGTCTCTTCACACATCTTCTTCACAAGCTCACCTTTACGCCCAATTATACTACCGACTTTAAGTACTCACACTACTAGCCGGAACACGTTGCCTCCAGGCCAGCCCGGACATTTCAGCACAACCGCAGCCGCTGCCGCCATGGTGTCTCCATTGTTGTTGTTGTTATTACCACTTCCGGTTTCAGCAGTATCTTCAGATTTTACAGCGGCTAATTCCGTCTGTAACAAGTCTAAGACCTATTCTTTTTTTTGATGGGTAAATAAAAGTCTAAGACCTATTCCCAACTAGTAGGTATCCCCAAATGGATCATTTTCTTCCATTGTGTCCTATCTTGAGCTAAGTCTTCATTGATTCCAAAGATTTGTATGTCATTCGAAACAACTTCCTTCCATGTGACTTTAGGTCTATCTCGCCCCCTTTTAACACCTTTTACCCTGTACCGTTGCAACAACTTACATGCCATAAAAGGTATTATTCATATATTCAAAGACAAACCTCCTTTGCTCTACATGACTATATATTCTTCTCATAATCTTAGTTTACTCGGTAAAGAGAAACCTCCTACCTATCCCAAAAAGTAAATAAGAACAGAGAACACAAAGCTTCCAAGAAACTACCTAATGAAAGTACTATAAAAATGGATCCATTTTTCCTGTAGATTTATTAAGTAATCCGGTCAAAACAACTCATTTTCAGAAATGTACCCTTGATGTCCCAGTAATAGACGTCTGCATACCCCCTCATTTTTAGAAATGTACCCTTGATGTCCCAGTAATAGACGTCTGCATACCCCAAAAAAAACTAAAAAAGACTGTCATTGCTAGTGGCAGGTCCAAGAATTTATGCAAGGGGATTCATAAAAAAGTAGAGTGTCAGACTTGGGGTTTGAACTTGTGACCAAAAACAATATTTGAACTCCTTCACCACTACACTAGGATCTTCCGTTATGTCAAGGGGATTCAACAGTTTATATATAACTAAGAGAACCGATATTTTCCCTTTTTGTGCAGTACAATTATTTGACGAAGGGGATTCAATTGAACCCCCTTCGACATAGCTCCGCCCCCGGCCATTGTACTAGTCCGCATGTGTCCGTGTAAATCTACCTGTTTTACTCAATTGGCATAAAAATACTTTAGATTTTGGCTATACCACCGAAACAATAGTTTGGGGACAATTGTCTGCAAACAGTTCTACTTTTATGGACTTCTTATATTGTCGTTTTCCCAGAAACTGTATCATTTTAACAACCACCCATCTCAACTCTTTCACTGGAATTTTTTAATATGAGCACTGAAAATTGGAAGTTTTTACCAATTAAAAACATTTAAATTCAAATAAATAAAAAAAACCCTAGAAGAAGCAGAAACTAAACGAGGTATGTATAATAATGATTGTAGTCATGACATACGATGCGATCGGCATTGCCGAGAGGGCCTTCGAGGACGCGAATACGAGCGCGAGTCTCTTCACACATCTTCTTCACAAGCTCGCCTTTACGTCCAATTATACTACCGACTTTCAGAACTGGCACTACTAGCCGGAACACGTTGTCTCCAGGCCAGCCCGGCCATTTCAGCACAACCGCGGGCGCTGCCGCCGTGGCGTCTCCGTTGTTGTTGTTGTTGTTATCACTTCCAGTTTCGGCGGTATCCTCAGATTTTACAGCGGCTAATTCCGTCTGTGGTGGCTGTTGATTTGACGGCTGAAATGACTCGGCATCCTCAGATTTTACAGCGACTAATTCCGTCGGCGGCGGAGCCACCGAAGACGGCGGCTCTTGATTTGACGGAGGAAAGGACTCGGTTTGTGAGGCAGTTACTTCAGAAGAAACCATTTGATAAATGTGATGGACTGGGTTTTGTAGGGGTTTGCGGGCAAAGAAGAAGAAAAGTGAGAGAGTGGAGAGCGAAAAAGAGAGTTTTGCGACTGTGTTTCTTTCTACTTTCGATTCGAGGGTTTGATTTTAGCGAAAAGAGAACTTGAACTGAAATAGTAATACTTTATAAATATCATGTATGTATTGATGTATCTATATAATAATTATCTATCTATATATAATAATTATGGGAAATGAAAGAGCGACATGGCACTCTTTTGGCCAAGGATTTCATTTATCTTTTTTCTCAATTTTTTTACTTTTTTCTTTTTTTAGGATGTCAAAAAGCCTCTGGCCATTTAATATGGTTCATCCCTTATTTAAGATGTTTTTACACAAAATAACTCCCACGTTGTGTATAAGTTACTTTAATAATTACTACTATCATTTATTGTGTATACTAATTGGAGAATGTGAAAAACCATCCATCAGTTCTCAAAGTTCTTCGTATCTTTTCCTCTATATCATTAAAGTTGAGGTTATTTGTTTCACTATATAAGAGTACTGGACGTCCTTTTGTGAAGCAACCTGTTAATTATCCTCTTTGGAATGCTTTTGTAATGAATTGAAATAGCCAGCGATGAGAGGGCATTTGGTTTGGTCTTCTTGATGGTGTTTCTCTTTATAACTTTAAGGAATTAGATTAAATTTGTTGACAATATCAATGGTTTCTTTCCTATCATTATTATAGCTTCATCCTGCAAAGTTTTTATTTGGTTAGTTCACTTTTTTATTCTAATTTTTTTTTCTTTGTTGATGAGGTTAACATTTTCTGCCTCCATGCCAGGGTATTTTCAAAAGTGTAAGCAGGGGAAGGAAGAAGTATGTCGGTATGCTACTTAAGTAAATATGTATGTAAAAATTTTAAGCATATGATTGGTTTTCCAACTTATTTTTTTTGATAAAAGTCCTCAAGTTTTTTCTTATTAATCTATTTGTTTTCCTTGCTTATTGTGATTTCTTATATATATGATTGTGATGCATTATCCAAAGATTAGTGGTACGAGAATTTTTGTAATGTAAGTACTATTGATTAAGAGAAAATAATTGAGGGATTAACAATACAAGAGATTATAATATATGAATTGCAATGCAGAGATTATTTGCTATTGAATATTTAGTTTTTTGTATTAAAAATCATTATACAATGTATATCTTAAAATATTTGTTTATTCTTTTAACAAAATGAACTTGTGGTTACTGCAAGGTTATTTTTGTTATTTTATTATTTTAATCCATATATTACTAATTCTCATATTCTTATTTTATTAAGTTTTACGACGAAAAAACTATTGAATCAAATATTGCAGTAGTATTAAGATAGATTTTTTTATATAACATTGTACTATTGTCTTTTTTTTTGGTCAAAAAAGCATACATTTATAAATTAAGTAGTAGTACAAGGAGCATTCTGAGGTACATCAATACAAAAACATCGTTGGTTACCCATGCTATCTAGAGACATAGTTTGTGGCAGCATATGTAAACAAAAAGAAGTATGTCCCAAAAGCTTAGGATCAGTTTTGGGACGTGTGTAGAGTGTGCCACATTGATCTTCCATGTATTGAGCCCTAGCAAAAAGTGGTGGTTCCAAAAGAGTGGTACATGGATGTTGCATGGGGGTAGCTGTTCCGTGTTTGGCTAATAAATCTGCCACTTGATTCATCTCCATGTAGACATGTGTCACATGAGGGCTACCCAGTTGATGTAGTAGGTACCTGCATTCATTGATTAAAGATGAGTAGTGGTAATTATCGAGGAGAAGTGCTGAAATTACCTTTGTTGAGTCGACATTAATTTCCAGCGGAGTGTATTTATATTGGAGGGCAAATCTTAGTCCTTCCTATAGTGCAGTGAGTTCCATGTATAAGATGCTTCCCATTGGACGGGAACCCAAATAACCAAGTAACCAATTCCCTGAGTGGTCTCGTATAATTCCTCCAAAACCATATTTGTCATTTTCTGTGTGACAAGCTCCATCTGAGTTAAGTTTAAATGAAAGGTTGATGGGGGATGCCATTTGACATGCATGTGTGATTGAGCCTTAGTTGTTTGTTTGGGGGTTATGCCTAAATAGAAGAATTCTGCAGCTTGACTTAATATGTGAGCGGGGTTTGGTGGAATATATTTACCATCAAAAATAGTTCGATTCCTATTTTTCCACAAATTTCAAAGAGTAAAGGGAATTAGTATGTTCGATGGGAGTTGTTGTGTAGTATTAGGGTTTTGCTTTAGGAGTTGTGACAATAGATGTGGGGTATTGTCGTGTGATCTATCTAGGTTAATATTGGATAGGTTAATGGACAGACTGTCCCAAATATTTTTTGTGTGTATGCATAGGAAAAATAAATGGTTGATAGTTTCTTCTTGTGTATGACATATTGGGCATACGACATTTGGAGCAACTTGGATGTTATGTAGATAACTAAGGGTGGGCAGACGGTGATGGGTCATAAGCCATAGGAAGTGTTTGATTTTTGTCGGTATATTTAGTTTCCATATCCACTGGAAGGAAGGTGTATTTACATTTGCATCTAATTGTTTGTAAAGTGATTTAACTGTAAATGACCCCCTACTAGTAAGTCCCCAATAAATTTGGTCACGTGTAGTTTTATTTGTGATGGGAGGCAATACTAACTCTTAAGTAGTAGGAGTATATTAGGTGGAATTTCGAAAGGAATTGAACTAATGTTAATAGTGTTATTATTTAATTAATTGGCAAGTGGTGCCATTTGATGTTGTTGTGGTAGAGGCCCTATAATTGAATTTCTAAGGGTGAGATTGGTTCCTAGCCATGGGTCATTCCAGAAACTAATGTGGTTGCCATTTGCTGGATGCCACCGTATGCCCAGTTGATAAAAGGACCAGCCAAGGATTATTGCTTTCCAATTCGAGGATATAGTTCTGGAGTTAGTGTGTGTGTTGTATTTTGATAGGATTATTTTGGCCCAGTAGGAGGATGGAGATTGGAAAAGTCGCCATGCCAGGGATCCTAGTAAGGCATTGTTTTTATGGTGGAGGTTTTGGTATACCTAGTCCTCCTTGTGCCTTAGGTAGTTGGACAGTTGCCCATTTGATAAGGTGCAATTTGCGCTTCTGTGGTGTAGTTCTCCACAGGAAATTTCTTTGGTACATTCGAGTTTGGTAATAATATTATTGGGTATTTTAATGAGTTGTATGGCATGATTAGACAAGCAATTTAGTGTTGCGTTGATTAACGTAGTGCGTCCTGCCATTGTGAGAAAGTTTGTTTTCCAGCCTGAAAGTTTATTATTAAAATTATCCAGTAAGTATTGGAAATGAGTTGGTGTTTGTTTTGTGTTAAAAATAGGGTAACCAAGGTATTTCCCAAAATTTTGACCTTCCCTCATATTAAATAAATGTGTAACACTGTCTCGAGCTTCGTTTGTAGTGTTTTTGGTGAAGAAAATTTTTGATTTATTAAAATTAATAGTCAAGCCGGACAGAGTGGTTAGGAGATTAAGGGTATCTATTATGGAGTTCATGTTCTTAGTAGTTAATTTCGAAGTGATGGTTATGTCATCAGCAAATAGTAAGTGTGATAAGGGAGGCCCTAGTTTTGAAATTTTTATAGGATGCCATCTAAGGCAATCTACCTCCATGTGAATTTTCCTAGTTAACATTTCCATACACATTATAAAGATATACGGAGATAAATGGTCACCTTGGCGTATGCCTCTTGTAAGTGAGAAAAACTGAGTTGGTTGTCCATTGATTAAGATGTAGATTGTAGTGGTAGTGATGCATGACATAATTAGTTTTATTAAGGTTGGTGGGAATTTAAAATAATGAAGGGTGTCATGAATAAATCTCCACTCTAATTTATCAAAGGCTTTTTTCAAGTCTAAATTGAGCAAGAAAGCAGAATGCTTACCTTTTTTATTTTTAAAATAATGCATAATTTCTTGCACTATGATTGCGTTATCAGAAGCTCTTCGATTAGGAAGGAATGATGATCGTTCAGGGCTGATTATGGTCATTAGTAAAGGTTTTATTTGTTTGACTATAATTTTAGTGATTAATTTATAGAGAGTATTGCAAAGACTGATTGGTCTATATTGGGTTATTTGAGATGGTTGTTTAGTTTTAGGAATTAGATAAAGGTAGGTTTCGTTGAGTTCTTGTGGGATTTGTTTGGTATTAAAAATATCTTTGCAAAAGCCAATAACTTGTGATTTCACTTGGGCCCAATATTTTTTATAGAAGTACGGGTGTAATTCATCCGGTCCTGGAGCTTTAAGAGGTTCGAATGACTGTAGCGCATCAGTAACATCGACTTTTATAAGTTGTTGGTCGATTGTTAAGCAATAATTAGAATTTTGGGAATTCATATCTTGTCGTGGTAGGGGTGGTGTGTGTGTGTAGTAGTAGTAAAAAGATTATGGTAGTAATTTTGAATAGATTCATTGATAGCTGGTTGGTCTAATAACCAATTCCCAACGGAGACTTTTAGAGCAGTTATACGGTTTCGTCTACGTCTTTGGAGAGTTGTTAGATGAAAAAACTTAGTGTTGGCATCTCTATTTTGAAGCCAATTAATCCTCGACTTTAATTTCCAAAATTCTTCTTCTAGTTTGAGTATGTCATTGAATTGATCAACGAGATCTTTTTCAAGATTTTGAAGGAAGTGACTAGTCGGATACCTAGGTGATTTTTGAATTCCTGTAAGCCTTGCAAGCAAGGTATTTTCTTAAAAATATTCCCAAATGTATTTTTATTCCATTCAGTAATATTCTCTTGAAAATCTTTAATATCTTGTAATGTAGGTTTGTTAGGGGTCCGGTTTTGCGTGATTATGGAGATAAATTTCGGATGAGTAGTCCAAATTATTTCAAACCTGAAAATTTTATCCTGGGGACTATTATTCTTTTTTAAGGTTAACAGTAATGGACTATGGTCCGAATGGGTTCTAGGTAAATGAAATAATGAAGCCTCTAGGTATAAGTTTAGCCATTCGTAATTAGCTAAACATCTATCTAATCGTTCAAGTATTCGATTAACTAATCGTTGATTATTCGACCAAGTGTACTTACTACCCGTATAACCAAGGTCCACAAGATTACAATAGTTAATACATTTTATAAAATGGTCAGTACGCTTATTATTAATACTAAGTCCTCCATATTTTTCATTAGAGACAGTAATTTCATTAAAATCCCTCCGATTAACCAAGGAAATTTAATTTGATCATATATAGAACGAAGATTATCTCACAGTATAGAACGTGCATGGAGGTCATTTTTTGCATAAACAATAGATAGTAACCAAGTGCTAGTATTAGGGTGTACCTGGACAATGAAGTGGATCTCTTGATTGGTAACTGCCACTTGTTCAAGTTTAATGTCCTCCTCCTTCCACAGTAGTGCAATTCCTTCAGAGATTTCTTGGGCAGGTGACTGTGCCAAGTTGGAGAAGCCAAACTCATCTTTAAGGTATGCAAGATCTTGTATGTGTGTTTCTAGCAATGCCACTATAGATGGCTTGTGATAGTTGAGCATTGATCGAAAGTTTCTTCTAAATTCCGGTGACTAAGCCCTACTACAATTTCATATGACAAACTACATGGATTGATTAATGGTTGGGTTGGGTGGAGTCTCCCTCTCCATCGTTGAGGATGTATTCCTTAGTGCTGGAATCAGGACTATAGTGAACTTCCCCACCTCTGGGTTCCTTGGTGGGCGTATGTTGATTGAAACACTTTGGAGCTCTGGGGGACATGTTATGATGACCTTTCTTTCGTACTATTTTTTGAGGATGTAGGTCTTGTTCCCATTGAGGTAGCTCAGAATAGGTAGAGTCTCTCTTATTTCTGTCATAGTTGCTTCCACTTCCAAGCTTGCTATTTCGTCGAGTTCGTTTTGCAATGGACTGGAAGGTCATAGTGGACTAGGGGGAGAAGTTAGGGGTTGGTATGGAGAGGCTTGTGCATGAAGGGGTATTATGGGGATGATTGATGTGCGATGTTGGATCCAAGGCACAAATGTTTGTGGAGGCTGTTGTGATGGGTAAAAGGGTAGGTCTATATTGGTCGTTGTGGGTGTTGGAGGTAAGAACATGGGTAGCGGGAAAGGTGTCTGTGGAGTTAGATGTTGTTGATGAAGAGCTGAAGGAGGATGCAGGCCCAGTTGAACTGGTTGTAGAGGGTCACTCCCATCCGCATCCCTTCTGTGACAATCTGAGCTATGTCCGCTGGATTTTGTATCATTACAATGACATCTTGATTGTCTATCTCCATCGTAAAGGTTAGTGCATGTTCCTGCATACTCATTTCCAACCAAAACTGTGGGTATGCTTGAGTTGGTGGGTATTGCGTGATGTAAATGGGAGTTGGTTATGGAGGGAGATCCTGTGGTAGTTGCATGTGATGGTGTTGAGGAAGATAGGGTGTTGGAGCAGAGTTGTATTGGTGAAGGGGCGTGTTCTCCTGTGTTGGAAGTTGTGGGGTGAGTGGTTCATTAGAATGTGTTGTGTTATGTGTTGGGTTTGGAGGGTGATAATTGTGGTTCAGTGGTGTTTGATTTTTTAGTGGTTGTAGTGGCCGGTTGATTTGATAAGGGAGGTTTGTAGGTGATTTCGTGTGTAGTATTGGAGCCGGTTATTTGTATAGGGTGTTGGGCTTTGTCAGTTGAATGTTTAACTAATTGGGTAGGGAATGAGGGTATTGTGCTTTTGTGAGATGGTGGAGTTTGGCGGGGTGCCGTAACATAGGCGAGCACTTGATTGCCTATTGTCTGAGGGGGGTTCCATGCATGTATCTTGAGTGGCAGTGTGTGTCACGTGTCTTTCTTGTGTGCTTTGTTGAAAGGTGGTGGATGAGTCAGCATTGTGGGCTGCTGAATGTAGAGGTTGGCCTATAGTGGGCTGTGGAGGTGTGGTTGTGTGTGTAGTGTTTTGGGCCTCTTGTTATGGCCCAGAATGAGTATCCGGTTGATTCAAGTTAGCAATATCATTAAGCATAATTAGATTATCTTTATTAAAAAACTTAGGAGAATTGTTTGTATGGGTTGCAGTACTTGGGTTTTTTAGGCCTAAGTTTTTCCCATTAGTGTTATTAAGTATATCAGGGTTAGAAGACTTACCTGTGGGTCCGGCGCCGCCAATTGCTGTTTATTGTGATTGGTTAGTTTGGTAAATTGATGATTTTCCTTTCGAACGATTCTTGGAGGGAAATTTTACTATTTTCCATTCAGAAGCATCTGTTTTTGTTTGTGAAAGTAGGGTATGTGATGTGGATTGGAGAGCTATTGATGATGAGGTATTAGGAGGTGATGTTTGTGAGGAGGAAGGTTGATGGGGTAGTGGTGTGTGTATGGTGGTGGGAGTCGTAGGTGTGTGTGAAAAGGTGGATAAACAGAGGGCCTTTGTGTGTCCAAGTTTGCCATAAGTAGTGCATAACATATTAACACCTTCGTATACAAGGTGTTGCTTGTGTGATCCGATGTAGACATTGGTTTTGAGAGGTATTTTTAAGGGTGCTTCTATGCAAATTCTTGCATAACGACCACGTGTGGTTGCTGAGGTGCAGGTATCCACTTTGAGTAGTGTTCCAATTTTTTCTCCTACTCGTTGCAATATTTCCAGGTCGTAAAACTCAGTAGGGAGTTCAGGGAGTCTTAACCAAATAGCTGTATAGGTTAATTGAGTGTTAGAGGCTATGAATTTGGGTTCCCATTTACGAACAGAAATAAAGTGATTGAGTATAAACCATGGGCCATTGTGTAGGGCTGTGAACATATTTTCTTTTTCTTTTTGGAATTTCACAAGGAAGAAATCACAGCCCAAGTCAATAAGAGGTAAATCCTCTGTTGGTTTTCATAGTGATGCGAGTTTTGATCTAAGTGTTTGGTGGCCTACTTTCCGGCCAAATACTTTGACAATAACTGAATATTTCCAAGGCGTGTATAATCTGAATTTATCTGCAGAGGTAATTGGAATAAAGGTGTCGTATTGTAAGTCTTGTATGGTGGATTCGTCCGATAAGTCTAGGTTTGAATGTGTTTGATGGCATGTGGTTGAGTGGTGGCTGAATTGGTTGCTACTGAGTAGTGTCTGGACAAAGGTGAGTGAGCGTTTTGGAGTTGTGGAGTTTGTGTCTATGATTGTATTGGTTGTCGTTGGTGTATCGAGATGCACGGAGCTTATGTCGGGTGGTGGCGGCGAAGTGGTGGTGGTGGTATTCATTGAGGGAGTCTCTTCTAAAGTTTTACGTTGTAATATTGTCTTACGTATCACTGTTGGCCCTGTATCCTTATCACAACTACTTGCAAACTATTTGTACCTGAAAAACTTTGTGGTATCTTTTGTCTTCTACCCTCTAATACGAAAAGGACAAAAAAGGAGACAGAAAAATGGATCATTACTCTCCTAATGCCAAAGGCAGATAGAATTCACGGACCATTCACTATACTACTTTCTTGAATATCATCCTCTTATAGAATTATCTTTGTATGCATATTCATCAAATTTATTCTCATCTAAACTAAATTTAAAAAGCATATTCATGAATAGTTCTCATCTAACCCACCTTTTTTATAAAAAGAAAAAAGCCTTTGTATATTAAAATTCTTCACTGCAATAGTATTTATCTAATTTCTAGTGTATTTGGCTTTTTACCTTATTCTTTACTAAAAAATTAATATATTCACGAGTTTCCAATAGAATTTAATGTGTACCTATGATTGTAAAATAAATACCAATAAAATTTGTGAAGGCAATAAAGAAGTGCAGTGAATTAGGATTCCCAAATTTTCAACATTTATGTCTTTTTTTTCCTTCTTTAATTACGCTCTTCTTTATATCCCTGGCATAACCTTTCAGTTCTAAAATTAATTCTCACATTTTAGAGTAAACTTTCAATGACAACTTTATATATGCATGCATAACTTATAACTACAGAATTTGAAAGGACTTTTCAGCACTAAATTTAAAACACCTCTATATATAAATAGAAACACCATATGCATTCACCATCTTACTTTTTCACAAACCAAATTGAAATCTTGTGCAGTGTGATTGCAGAAATATATGGATACAAGGATGAATGAAGTGAGGGTGTTGCGGAAGCCAAATGTAAATAGTGTGAATAAGTCACAACTACTATACCAAAAATTATGACAGCCACCAAATAATAAATAAGACAGTAAAGCAACAATAAAGGGAACACCAGAATTTACGAGGTTCGGCTAATTTTGCCTACTCCTCGGACACAACCAATATTTTATT